CCCTTTGAGTTTCAGCCTATGGATTTCTTTATGAGTTCAGTATGTGTCTTGTATACAGCAGATCGTTGGATTTTGCTTCCTAATCCACTGTGCCCGTCTATTTCTTTTAATTGGTGAATTGAGTACTTTTACACTGATGGTTATAAGTGAGATGTATTGACTTATGATTGACATGCTATTTACCTACTGTTGCTTATCCCTTTTTCTCCTGCCTAATTTTTTGCTCTATTTGCTGGTTTCTTTCTGTTCTCATTCACAGAGTTCTGTTAATTTTGGTCCTTCTCTAGAATATCTTTAATAGTCTGTATTGTGTTGACTTTGTCATCATGAAATCATTTAATTTTTCCTTGTTGTGGAAGTATTTAACTTCTCCATCAAACTTGAAAAAGAATTTTGTGGCATATAGTAGTCTGGGCTGGGATTTGTTTTCATAGACATTAGAAGTAATCTGCTCCGTGCTCTTCTTGACTTCATAGTTTGTGAAGAGAAATCTGCCTTTATTCTGATTGGTTTTCTTTTAAATGTGACGTGTTTCTTTTTTGAATCTGATTTTAGTATATTTTTCATGTGCTGCATTTTGGGATGCTGACTATTATATGTCTGGCTGTGTTTTTAATTGAGTTGATGCTATTTTGAGCTCTATATGCTTCTGTTGCTTCAATGTCAGATTTTCCCCCCATATTTTGGAAAATTTCTGTTATTGCTTCTGCCCATATACTTTTTATATCATTTGTATTGAATTATTCTTTGTCACTGATGTCTATTAGTCTCACATTATTCATCTTTGCATGGTCTTAGAGAAGATGAATTATTTTTTCCTGCCTCCTAGTTCTTTTTAAGAGATCTTATCTTTTCACTAGCTGTGATGTTGTCTTCATGATCTGAAACTCTACCTTCACTCTCACTCAAATGGCTTTTCCAGGTTGTGATTGAGATTTTAAATTCCTCTGTATCTCTGTGACTCTAATTCATGTGATCTATTTCTTTCCTATATTTTTCATTCAATCAAAGCTTCCATCATGTTTCTTTACTCCTCTAACTTTTCATCAGTTTCTTCTTTAGAACAGTTATTAATTCTTTTATTATAGTTATCCTTTCTTTTTTATTTCATAGGTTATTTCTGATCTGATTTCCTCTATACCTTTCTGCAGTTGTTTCCTTACTTCTGACTCTATTAATTCATATATTTCAGCTGTGTGATTCTCAATTCCTTCTGTGCTTGAGTCTCCTGCCTTTGCTCTGTGTGGGTTCAGGATCTGAGATTGCATTTTGCACCTTCTCACTGTCATTTTGAATAGCACTGTCCTCCGATTTTGGTGTAGATCTTTGGTGCAGTTATAATATTAGCACCTACCAAAATTCTTTCCCAAGAGATTATATGGTTAAGTCAGTTTTTGTTTTATATTTACAGTACTACAATTAGGAACACTAATAATGGATAGAAACTTAGCATGTGACAAACTATTGTAACTAATGGGTTTGTATTTGAGACAGAAAGAGCAAATACTATGTGCACCTAAGCAGATATTAAATTGAGAATTTGTATTTAAGTTAGCTTCCCTAAATTCTATCTGATCCCTTTCCATTGATGTACCTGCGGTCTCCATGCAGATTCATTCACCTGGTGACCTGTTGACACCTTTGTAGCTCAAGAGTAAAAAAGAGGACACTTTCATAGATCTGGATCCTGCAAAGTGTCTCAGCTTACCAGGTCTGGATCTACCAGCTTTGAACTTGGTTAGATGTTCCTTTCTTTGGTTTGCCTGATCTGCTCAGTTTTTTCCTGCTGTAGCTAAGAGAGGTGAATCAGGTGTACCACTCTGGAAAGATATTCAGCTTCTGGATTAGCTGGGTGGATCTGGCTCCTACTGTCTCTGCAGGAAGTTCTACTGCAAGGCTCCAAAGGAGGCCTGGTGCAGGGCCTGGGGTATTGGGTTTGTTGAGCTGGCAGAAGTTCCCACACTCACTCCAGACTTGAAATCTGGCTGGAGAGGGGACTTGGAAGTGAGGAATAGGTGGGAGTTCCCACACTCATCGTTTTATTAATTTTCATGAGAAAGAAAAAGTAATAGGGCAGTTTCAAAGCATGTTATTAGGAAAGTTAGAATAATTAATGCATGGCATATTGTTGTCTTTGTAGTATTTATTCAGAGTACAAGATGCAGAAATGATATCATGTATAAACACTATTAGTACAAATCTTTCTTCTCACTGAACTAAGAGAAAATAGCTTTATAACTAGCCTAACAATTTTGTATATACAAATATATATATATATATATATATATATATATATACATTTTTTCAGTACAAAATGGTCTTTCACTTATATGCCCATAGTTTTGTTTGTTTTGTCAGTGATGGGTGTTCCATTGCCATTCAAATATTGTACGTTCTTGAATTCAGCAAAATAACCCAATATAGTCCAGTAGTCCATATTAGTAGTGGGTTATCAGCAGAACTGGCAATGTCAGAAGTTGTTGACTTCAGCCTTTTACATCTCAGTATATTAATATGGCTTTAATTTTTATACCTCTTTGTTGTACTTTTCTGCTGGATGGTTAAGACTAAGTTAAAGCAAGACCCAGGAAACTAAAAATGTATCTTTTTTATCTGACATGGTTCATGAAATTCCCTCAGGAACCCTGAAATCATGTACAATAGCTTGTAGTTCTTTTGTCAGTGTCAGCCATCTGGATGCCTCATGGCCATTATTTGACCAGTTTGCTTTCTGTAAAAGTGTGACTGAATGTTTTCTCTCTTGGTGACTCTCCTTAGGCACACTATACATTGTTGATCTTTTTGTATACAATGGAGTATTACTCAGCTCTAAAGAATAATAAACTTGAAGCCTTCATATATAAGTGGATGCAACTTGAAGATGTACTCATAAGTGAAATAAATAAGACTCACATGCATATAAATCACATAGTCTACCTAGTGTAAGAACTCAAAAGAAGAAATAAAAATTGAAAAGTATAACACAGCTAAATGGAAAGCAAGAACTTAAGGTTTAAACAACAAATAGAGAGCAAGGAGAAAAATTAGGAAACATGGCAGGGGCAAAACCATACATTTATATGTAAGATGGTTAAGGCAGCGGTCCTAGAATCTCCATCAGGTTTGTGAAAGTAGCAGTTAATTGTCAGAATTCTCAACCTGACTAACTATATATGCTGATGTCTGTGAATAAAGCTACTATACTGAGGATTGCAATAGGCAATACTAAAACCATGCCTGGAATACCTATCATTCTGGTCTTCTAAATATGTACTGCTTCTAATGTCATATCAATTATTGCTATGCTCTTTCTCAAGTAAATATTTGTTTATAAAAATGTAATAAAGAAACAAAAGACAAGAAAAAAGTCATAGAATTGTCCTGCTACAATGTTGTGCATGGTTTGGCAACTACATTTCTGTGTAACAATCTACAATTGGTTTTTTTTCACATTTTATAGGGATTTAAAGTTTAGAATATCAATGAGTGTTGGGAAATACCTGTTCCTTGTTATGTCTAAAGCATTTGATATTCAGACAGACAGTAATGTTAAACTAACTGTCCTGTTTTAGGATAATAATGTTATTATCTTCTCTTCTGGATGGTTAACAACTTAAGTTTGCAAATAAAAAATTAGAGAAGAAGAAGGGTTACAAGGATAGTCAACATTTTGACCATAGACCTTCAAGGTCAGTGAGGACTTAGGACATAAGTGAACCTGTACTGTAACATCTTGTGACTCAGTGTTGTCCCAATTTTTCTGATCAAGGAGACTATGGGGTCATAGTGGACTCTTTTTATAAATTCTACATCTTTATTGAATTTGTCTTTTTTATCCTGCCAGAACTTTGTTTCCTTGAGAGGCAACAGTTCCAGGATCTTGGGAACATTCCAATCAGATCATCTTGAACCTTAAAATCCACCTGATTATACTTCTCTCACTGTGTTCAAACTTCAAAAGTTTTGCACCATCCTATCACATGACCAAGATTCCCCAAGCCCAGAATTCAGACTGCCATGATCCAGCAGCTGGAGTTTTTCTTTCAATTTAGTGATTGTATTTTTTTCCATACCATACCTTTTATTTTTTCAAGACACTCTCTATTGGTATATATGCACTGCAACAACAGGGACAGTTCAAAATGATACAAAACAAAGGGGAAGACAGATAGATCAGTAGATTTAGTCACCTGCTTAGGCAGACCCAGGGGCCAGGGTTTTAATCCCTAGCCTGTCATGCTCTCCTCTCTCCCTGGGCATGCTGAGACAGCAAATGAGGCTGGGTATGGTGATGCAATCCTATAATCCCAGAACTTGGGAGGTTGAAAACAGGAGGCTCACTATGAATCCAATCTGTGTAGTGAGACCATGTAGACTGTGTAGACCATATACTAAATACAAAAAAAGATACAAAACATAAAATGTATCTGAGCCCAAGTAGCAGTTAAAGAAACTATCCTTCCAAAACAGTTCTGACAATTTTTCATTTCCTGTTTGCTCTACTGAGGTTGAGTCCTGACAAGGAAGTCCAAATTTGATTTGTTTAAATTTGCAGAAGAAACACTAGATAATCCATTATGGGTTGGCTCTAAGGTAGGGTAGCATTGCAAAACATCATCACAGTTATAAAGCAGTAGAAAGCAGGGTAGGGCTTGCTAAAAGCAGAAAGGACCAAACAAAATCAGCAGCAGAAACAGCAAACTAGTGGAAGAAGCAGAAGCAACAGAAGCCTGTCTTTAAAACTAATGCTTTATGTGTCATTCAGGCATATATACATTCCTTTCTGCACTTCAACCCACACCCAGACCGGGGGCAACCTTATTCACAGTAATACACACCCTAGATCCATCCAGCTCTGAAAGCTCAACTTCTAAGTGCATGAGGCTTAGGGAAATATACAGACACAAGCTACAACACAGTCTAACCATTTCTCTTACACTTCTTTTCACTTTATCCTCCCAAATGCTGCACATTTTAATGAAAAGAATTCGTCTCTGCAGGAAATGGAAGAATTTGTCCAGAGTTCCTGTGAAGAAGGTATTGTGGTGTTTTCTCTGGGCACAGTGGTGAAAAACCTCACAAAGGAAAAAGCCAATCTCATTGCCTCAGCCCTTGCACAGATTCCACAGAAGGTCAGTACACCCTCTCATCCTGCTCAGCACTTTTTCACTCTCTGGAGAGAGACCAGAACAAGTCACACTCTTCCCTGGGGGAAGTGATACTCTCTGCTCTTTGTATACAGCTCACACAAGCTTAAGTAGGATTGTGCAGAGCACCAAATTGGACAGCTTAGTCACATATCATTGTCTGCCACCTTAATCATTGTCACGTTGTGTTACTGTGGAAAATACTTTTGGTTTCACTTGTGTTTAATGGAATAAAAATGCAAAATATTCAAAATATATTTACTTGCACTAACAAATGCTTAGTCCTCTGAAGGATGTTACCATTGTGGTCCAGGATAAGAAAGAAATTATACATCAAGGAAAGGATAAATGCTCAAAAATAATTCTAAATTCTTCAGTATTATATTCAATCAAATTCAAAGTTTATTGCAAAGCAGAAATCTAGATTTACCTATTCTTTCAAAATTGAATATTCTGAGGTTAACAATTGAAATTATAATTGTCAAATAGCATCCTGTCTCTTCTTTAAGCTATTTAATTATCCTAAATTTATACTCTACCACTCATTCCATTCACAGAGTACTTAAATTCTATATACTGAGTAAGTGACATATTCTAAATGTGTTAAAATTGAGAATATCTTTTTATATTTGTTATTTTGGAGTGTTCTGTGTTTTGTACTGAAAGGAAAGGATGTCTTTTGTCCCCAAGGAAAATGTCTGTGTGAATGTTCATCAAAATTTGAATAAATACATCATAAAAATAGGCTGTAAGCAAAGTAAATAATTATGCCCTGCTAAAGTAAATGAAGGAGAGATACAGAAGGGAAAAAAGGAAGAAAGACAGTAATATAGGAGACAAGAATAACAGAGAAAAAAATAGAGATAATACAGAGAAGAAAGAAAGGAGGCAAGGATGTAGGAATATAGACAAAAATGAAGAGAAAAGGGAGGAAAGACGGATGAACAGATGATGGGAAGAAGAAATGATTATAAAAAAATCAAGGAATCTAAAGTTAAAAGGTTATGGTCTAACATTACATTTGATAGAATAAATGACAAAATTATATTTGATAAATCAGTTGAATAGCATAAATATATGTTGCCCTGTTTTAAATCTCCATATGTTTCTTATTTTATTTATTTATTTATTTTTACATTTTTAGAGAAGGGTCTACAAGGTATTCAGTTTCTCACCACTCGATCAGACTGATCTACCAGTTTACAGTCTCCCAAGTGCTATTTATCTCAGGACTAAGGTAGCTTGTTTGCTTCAGACACTGAAGTCTATTCCCACCTACACAGAAAGCTACTGTGATACCACCAGCATGGTACTTGAAAAAAAAAAAAAAACCTAAGGATCAATGTAATAGGTTAGAAGACGCAGGTGCAACTACAAGCACACTCAGCCATTTTGACTTTGACAAAGGGTCCAAACATGTTTACTGGAAGAAAGGTAGCCTCTTTAACAAATGGTGCTGGAAAACCAGCCACTCTGAATGCCTAAAACAAAAACTTGACCCAGGTCTATCACCACGCATTAAATTAAAGTCAAAATGGATTAAAGGTCTAAAACATTAAAACAGAAACACTAAATCTCCTGGAAGAGAAAGTAGGTGTAAATCTTGAAGACATGGTGTAGGCAAACAATTCATGAACAAAATTCAAACTGCAAGTGAAATTTTAGAAAGAACAAATGGGAACTTTTCTTATTGAAAGTTTTTCATGTCAGAAGAAATAACCAACAGAGTGAAAAGACAACCCACAACTTTGAGAAAAAAATCTTAACTAATAAGCACCCAGACAAAGGACTTCTATCTAGAATTTATAAAGAACTAAAAAAATCAGGGCCTCAAAATTTAAAGATCCAATCCAGAAATTGGCAGCTGAGATGAACACATACTTCTCAGAGGAAGAAGTACAACCAACAAATAAATACATGAAAAAATGCTCCACATCACTAGCCAATCATGAAATGCAAATTAAAACAACACTAAGATATCATCTCACACCAGAAAGAATGGTATCATAAAGAAATCAAACAACAACAAATGTTGTAGAGCCTGCAGGGAAAGAGGAACATTTCTTGCATTCAATCTAAACAATACATTTTTCTTTCTTTTCTCTAGCTATAAAGAGAATGCCATGAGGTTATCAAGAATTCACCATGAACAGCCAGTGAAGCCCCTGGACCGAGCAGTCTTCTGGATCGAGTTTGTCATGTGCCACAAAGGTGCTAAGCACCTGCGTATTGCAGCCCAAGACCTCTCCTGGTTCCAGTACCACTCTTTGGAGGTGATTGGGTTCCTGCTAGCCTGTGTAGCAAGTGCTCTACTGCTGGTCACAAAGTGTTGTTTATTTTTCTATCAAAAGTTTACTAAAAAAGAAAAGAGGATGAAGAGGCAGTAGATATAAGATTGGCAAAGTGCTAAATTGGGCAAAATATTAATTCCTGCCCTAAGGAGCTCACTGAGAACCCATCTTCATCTTATTTTCAAGTATCCTCTTTTGTTTGTGTCCACATTAAATATGGCAAATGATAACAATTTTTTTAAAGTTACATTCATATACTGCGAGTTTTTCTGTTTATTAGAGAGAAACTCAAGGTTTCAACAGGAAATGTCTTCATTTGAGCTTTCCTTTGCTGTTTTACCAGGGAGTTATTAATTCTAAATATACCCTACCCATAGTTCCATTTAAAATTTACCTTTGATTGACATGATAATTGTGCTTGGAATCCTTGGGAAGCTTAGTGTCCATGGAATTTGATGAGTGGATAGAACTCACAAGAGTCAAACTCCTACTTTTCCATGGGTCATACAAACATAGAACCACCATCACAGTAGATCAGTGTATGAGAGTAGGAATGATGATGTTCTTGTGTACTAAAAATCAGCTCTTTAGCTTGGCAAATGTTGTAGGAATCAAATATGAATTTATACAGTAATAATGCATCACAATATGAAAGCTCTAAATCCATTTTTATTGATCATATATAGATAATCACAATCTATTTTCCATTTTTTTTTTCAAGAAATATTCTTAGGTGCCCTACCAGTGAGTCATGGATTTGGCCCATTAAACTTCAAAAGACAGATCAATAGAATGACCCTTTTACTTTCTAATATAAAATGTTACATCTGATAAAAATATTTGTAAGTAAAATAAAATAAATATCAAAAGATATACAATTTTGTGAAATTCTTAACTTCAATAAATATTTATTGAGTTAGAGTTAATTATTTAATTTTTAAAGTCAGAGTACAGTGAGTAATCATGATTGATAATAAATTTCAATATTCTGCCCACAATGAAAATTTAGAATTTGAGATTATGTTTTGATTTTAACAGTTTGCTTTGCATGAAATTAATCATTTAATAGCTGCACTAATACATTAGCCTAATATGTGGACCAAGTATATGGTAAGGAATGGTGAATGTCATTATTTATCACT